TATAATATTAATAAAATATTTAGTTTAATTTTAAGTTATTTGTAAAAATAAGTTTTCAAACCATTCTATGGTTAAAAAAGTACTGACTTATTGGTGAATAAAACAATTACCATCACCTAACCTAACCTTTTGTACCAAATAAATTTTATTAAAAGAAAACAATAAGTAATAATAAGATGTTATGTAATGTAATAATATGGTGTGTGTGTGTGTGATGATGGTGTTGCGGAGACCGTCATCAGTATTACCAACTATTCCCACATCCCACATATTATATGCATATTTTTTTTTCTAAAATTAGTTCAGCCTACAGTTAAATTAATACTAATATTAATTTATGTGCAAGATCCTGCTTAGTATTTTCTTATGAGTATTTATTTATTTATTTATTTTTTTTTTCAGAAACATTTTTCATCATTTGGTTCAAAGTCTTTTAATTTACCAGAGCTTATTTGCAACGAAATCAGATTGACTACAAATTCAAAGGGTACTTCTTCTGATGATATGCTGTATTATTTTAAAATGTTAACTAAAATTGTAGAAACATGTAATTTAAAAATGAAAGATGTTGACTCATCTATGAAGAGCAAGGTCATGATTAATACTTCAGTTAAACCAGTCAAATCAGATAAATCTACAACAGTGCAAAGTGAAGCTGAATCATCGGATGAAGAGAGCGATGGTRAAAATAAACCAAAAAAAATCCATAAATCAAAGCACTTGCAAAATACAGGTCCTAAAGTATTTTTAAACAAAAAAGCAAAAGCTACCAATGCCCACTTCAAAAATAAAAATAATGCTTCAGAAAAACCACAGCCAAAAGTAAATGATGTTAATAAAATGAAAGTTAAAATGGAAAAGGTTTTGAATTCTTCTATTGAAGAAAATGCCAAACTATCCTATGAACCAAAGGATTTKACTGAAGAAAAGCGACAAAGAATACATAATTATACTCAGAAGTTATATCAAAATATTTTAGCTAACACACAGTCACATTTTAATTCACCTCATGTATCTTCTACTGAAATTAATAGCTATTTTAATCAAAATCATGCAAATTTTAGCTCACCAATCCAATCAAATCCATTTCARAACTCTCTACCACCATTGCTTAGTCTAAGACCCGAARTAAAACCACAAAATCCAAAACCTAAGCCAAAAACAAATGTTCAATCACATTCAAAAAMAAAATGATTTAAGTTTATTCTGTTTTTGATTTTTTTTTCCTAAAATATACAAGGTTTTTTTTTACTATACCATTAAGAAATTAAATGTATCTATGATTATAAGATATTATTTTCTTAATAT